TGCCATCGTAGATATGGTAGTGGCAAACGATGCAATCAGACTGCGTGAAATCCAGGCAGCAGTAATTGCAGATCAGGGAGTATTTAGAAACATAAACAGTGTGAGTTTGGCAACTATAGATCGAGTCCTTAAACGAAACCATGTCAGAATGAAGCAAATGTACATAGTTCCGTTTCAAAGAAACTCTGACGTCGTAAAGGAGGCACGATTCCAGTACAGTATGTGCAGGTACAGATTTGTTTACCATAGTTACATGCGACTGGAATAATTTGCTTCGTGAATTTGCTCTTTTTCTTAGAGAATAATGGAGTTTGAAGCAGAAGGGGCACATCACAAATGCATTTTTGTGGATGAAGCCGGCTTCAACCTCTGTAAAGTGAGGAGACGCGGGAGGAACATCATTGGGCAGAGGGCCACTGTCACAGTGCCAGGTCAGAGGGGTGCCAATATCACCATGTGTGCTGCCATCTCCAATGATGGGGTCCTTTGCCACATACCAACTATTGGCCCATACAATACAGAATGTCTCATCACATTTCTTGATGCATTGAAAGAAATACTGATTCCACCCGAAGAGAGAGGGCTGTTGAGGCCTGGCATGACTCTGTATGTCATAATTTGGGACAATGTGGCTTTCCACCACTCTCGCCTTGTGAATGAATGGTTTGCAGCACAGCCTCGTATTTTGTTTTTGTTTGCTGTTTCGTTACCATCTACACCATCTATACAAATGAGGCCATGGAGTGTCCCTTTCCTTTTTGCAAGGCAACACAATGTAATCTGTGCAAAAACAGTGGGTATGGCAACACATATATTACAGTAAAACATTTACATTTATTCATTTAGCAGGTACTTTTATCCAAAGCGACTTACAGTGAAGTACTATATCTACAGAGACAGTCCCCCTGGAGCAAGTTGGGGTCAAGGGCCTTGCTCAGGGGCACAATGGTGGCACCTCCTGGGATTGAATTCACAATCTTCTGGTATTCCTACAGTAATAGGAGTCTGAGTCCAGATCCCTAACCACTAGACCACCACCATCCCCCTAGATCAGGGATCTCCAAGTCTGGTCCTGGAGAGCTACTGTCCAGTAGGTTTTCTATCCTACAGTACTTGGCTTCTGATGAGCCTCACCTGTTAGTGGTATTTACTTGAGAACAGGTGTTACTCATCAGAAGCCAGGTAGGATAGAAAAACCTACTGGACAGTAGCTCTCCAGGACTGGAGTTGGAGACCCTTGCCCTAGATCACCGCAAACATTTTACAATGGTTGAAGCTGGAAATCTAAATGAAAACACACACCTGCCTGAAATTTCAGCTAAGAACCTGTCTAGGAATTTGTTTGGTTAGTGCCAATTTGCCATATGTACAAAAGGGGCCATCTTTGGATCGGCATTTTCTGCTAGGAATGAAATATTTACATACTGCAAAAAAGAAACAGCAACACTTACATGATNGCAAAGGGCAGAGAGAGGGTGACAGTCACAGACAACCCCGACCTGAGTTTTCTATTTTTATTCATCATAAACTTTTCCGTTCTTAGACATAAGCTATGTGTACTGTGGTATGCTGCTGTCTAATTATATATATTGCAGCTGTAATATATATTGTCAGGATCAATAAATTGTGCGCGTGTGTGTGTACCTTGTTTTGCTATACCAAAAAACCTCACATGTATAGCAAATACTGATAAAACTTGACTAGTTGGGTTATTTTTTTGGACCTCACTATTTTTCATAAAAATCTGTGAATGCAATTCATCCATACATTTTCTATATACTGTACCTATATACAATGAAAACTGGGGCAAACGAGGAACAGGTGTAAGACAATCAATTACCCAATCAACAAACACTGGCACAAGGAAACGGGCATCAGGTGGAACCAATAACAACCAATAGGCACAGAGACTAAGAATGGAAATAGAAAGAAATAGAAAGAAAGACCTAAAATTGAACAACCGGAGACATACTACACTAGAAAAAGAAACAAGAAAACAAAGTACAACCAAAGCACATGGAAGACAAACAAAGAAAAGGAAAACTCAAAAAGGAAAACAGAAAACACTGGGGAACAAACAATAAATACAAAATAACAGATGGGATTGACCTCAGCCAGTCTCAAACCCAGGACCACGGGCCCCATGAATTATAAACTGGATGCTCAACTCCCTAAGCCATGGGTCTCAAACTCCAGTCCTGGGGGGCCGGAGCCCTGTGTAGCTTAGTTCTTTCCCCCTTCCGCCACTAATGATCCAGCTCAAGAGTTGTGTGGTAATAAGCACAAGGAGTTGAATCAGGTGTGTTAAATGAGGGTGAACCAAAAACTTGATGATACTGCTGTCATCTTCCTTAACATGTTGTGCAGCCAAGAGAAGCACCAGGTGTCAAATGATATCATTAACATCACAAAGGCTTCATGTTCTGTGGTGATGTCACACCAGGCAGGAGCCTCTTTGCCTGATACCCTGTGTATCATGGGATTGGTTCCCCACAACCATCAAAAGAGCTTATGGAAGACGGATGGATAAAAGTATACAGTGATATACAGTTTGATTCCAGTCCCGACACTGTATGTGTAGAGTTTGCATGTTCTGCCTGTGTTTATGTGAAGCTCATCCAGGAGCTCTGGGTGTCTCCTTGTCTCCAGAGACTTGGTGTCCCTGTGATGTCCTGTCTGCAGTGCCAGGGTCCGTCTGGTAGGGTCTGGGGGCATCTTGCCACCTTCTATTTCCGAGCCACGGTGCTGTAGATGACCTCGTGTGGATTTGCTGCAGCCTGGGGAAGCAGACAGAGTTTAGCTAGAGGTGCATTTCAGCTTGTGCACACATTTTACAAATGTATATTGTGTTTTTGCAAACATTATGTTTACATGTGACATTTGCACATTAGTCTATGTGCATTATACAAACTGGCTCAGGGTTAAAAACAGAAAGAGTGATATTGAGAGTATCTTAATCCAAAAAGGGAATTTTATTTATAGTGAAAATGCACAATTGAGGATAAATGTTGCAAATTATACACCAAAATTGGTCAGATTGCTAAAAAAAAAAAAAAACAGCTCAACCACAAAGATCTGTTCAAAGGAACAAAACGCAGCTACAGAACAGCTCCCAGCACCCAACCAGCCAGACTGAGAGAGAAAGTCGTTCCCCCAACAAGTGTTTTATTTTCCCGTCTACTAGCGGTGACTGAATCCATATGCTGGTAGCAATCAGGAGCACCTCAGCACAAACACAAAAAGCAGTAAACATGCAAACACACGAATGGCAAAACACAAAGACAGCATGTCTATGGATGTGACAGTCCATCACTGCACCGGTAATTTATGCACATCCTGTGTGAAACGGGGGCATAGATGCCTGTTAGCTAAAGACAACCACAGTGTGAGGCTCCAGGAGTGAAAGGGAAGCACCTTTTTCCTCTGTGTGGTCGTGTTGCTGTAGATCACATCTGGGTCTGCTGAGGTCTAAGGGAGAACATACAGTACAGTGTTATTAGGCTGCATTATCTTCAGGACTGTGCCATCATCATGTACCATTACTGTTACACTTTACCATTACTGTCACTCCAGCATTTTTCAGGTGGTTGTGTGTGTGTGTGTGTGTGTGTGTGTGTGTGTGTATATATATATATATATATATATATATATTACATACACATATAGTTCGTGTTTTATGATCTTTTTGACATAAATCTGCCTAATTTATTATGCTTTGCTATTTCGACTTTTGATTTGATGGGAAAAACCGCAGAAAAATCCACCATTTGGTCACTAAAACAGCTGAGGTTACGTTCTGTTCTGCACCATTAAACAAGGTAAGTCTGTATAGCAGCCGGAGGTAACTAACAGGTGTAGAATATAAGATATTGCATTGCTATGTGTTTAAGTAATAAACAGAGCACTATAGTCAGTGAGCTCCGCCTCCTCATGTAATGGTGGTTGCAGTAGGACTCTGTGCTCTTCATGGCACCTGAGAGTTTAGAAATGAAGCACCACATAAACCTAAATACAACACAAGGATACAATGGTAACTCAGCTTAAGGAAATTTAGGATGCATCAGACACTCTTTCCTGATGGGTCTCAGTTTGCATTTAGGGCTCCAGAGTCTTACCATGTTTTCTATGGGCATGACCTGGATAGATGAATGAGCCAAATTTCTGGCCCTTGTAGTTACTGAGATGTATGTCACTTCATCCTTGGGGTCTACAGAGGGCTGGACAAGGAAAAAACACTGTAAATGGATACTGTAATCATGTACCATTACTTTTACACTGTATAATTACAGAGAGGACGCACACTGTAAATGGATATTGTAATCATGCACCATTACTGTTACACTGTATAATTACAGAGAGGATGCACACTCTAAATGGATACTGTAATCATGCACCATTACTCTTACACTGTATAATTACAGAGAGGACGCACACTGTAAATGGATATTGTAATCATGCACCATTACTCTTACACTGTATAATTACAGAGAGGACGCACACTGTAAATGGATACTGTAATCATGTAC